GGAACAATAAGCTAGATATTCAAATGAAAAACAGAATAATTTATATTATCAAGCAGTCAAAACTGTATATTAGTTAAAAGTAATTGAATATATACAACTCTGATTATACTAAAAACCATCATGTTGTTTACTTTAAATGGGTGAATTGTAAAGTATATGAATTATATATCGACAAAGCTATTAAAAAGAAATGAGTACAATAATTGAAACATTGAAGGTGAAGTCAGAGAATTTTCAAGTGCAGATTATTCATGATACAGGGAAATTCTCCTCTGAGAACTTTGTTTAGAATGATTGAACTTGGATGAGTACATGTCGTAAACTCGAGATTTCTGGTGTTATGGGACTGGTCTGCACATAGACCTTGCTCTCCTAGCACCCCTCGCTCCATCTCTGATCACCACCTTGCCCCTGACCCCTACCCCAGGTTGTGGGTGGGATTGAAGTAGGTCTCAGGGATAAGATGAATCTTACAAAGATATGAGGATGTCTGTTTAACATATTACTTGGTAATAAATTTTACAAAAAGCCCTGAAAGTTTATTCTTTTAATTTTTTTCTTTTTCTTTTTTTTTTTTGTTGTTTTTTCCTTTTTTTTTTTTAAGATTTTATTGGGGAGTTGGGGGAGGGGAACAGACAAGTTGTCGTTTTTTTGTTCTTCAGTCTAGTTGTGGAAGACATTGCTTCACTGGCCAAAGTTGGCACCATCATTGCGCTCTTCCTGGGCGAGGCAGATCAGTCACCGGCTTCTGGATGGCCGCTCACGCTGGCTGCTGGCTACACACGGTATAGCCCATGGCAACCCACTGCAGCAGGGGCTGCTGCCTACGCCATCGCCAGCAGCTCACGGCAGCCCAGCTCCAGGTTGAGCTGTTGTTTAGCATCTTAGCTGTGGAGGGCAGTGTCACTGGCCCTCGTATGTGGGATCCGAACCAGGGCCCTCTGGTGTCCCAAGCCAGTTCTTAACCATCGCACCACTCGGTCGGCCCTGTTTTTTCGTCTTTTTAATTTTTAGCTGAGTTAAAATCCAAAGTACTTCTAGTTAAAATCTGAAGTACTTCAACAAAGTGGCTATTATTGTTATACTTTTTCTTATTATTGGGTTGTCGGAAAAGTCATGACGTATTTTTTCTATGTTTCTCATTGCAAAAATGCGTCATGACTTTTCCGACAACCCAATATTTAAGATTCAACTGAAATAGCGCCTCTATTAAGGCTTTTCTACGTCCCCAGAGTTAATCTACACTCTTCTCTATGCTCCCACATCCCACAGCGTTTTGTTCATCTGTTTATTACAGCACTTATTTCATTCTACTGTATTCATAATATTAACTTTTCTTTCTCTCTCACTTGTCTGAACAGAAACCGTTTTTTATTCAGCTCTGTATCTCCCAACACCTAACACAGTATCTGGCCCATAATAAGTGCTCAAAACAATTTTTTTCCCAGCATAGATTGGTTGTGATTACCTGTCTGTCTATCCTGCTGCCCTGTGAGAGCAGATAATTTTTAAAAATCTGAACAAATGAAATAATGAACAAACCAACAAACTAAGACATAATTCTCAATTCCACTGGACAGTGAGTCTTCGTGTATGTTTTCTAATTATTCTGGGTCCAGGCTCATGAAGCCGCTCTCCTTATCCTCAGCTCAGCCCACATCGACCCACATTGTACCTATAAAAGGAACACAAAGCACCCATTGCTGAGTGCTGAATGTTTATCTCCCTCCCTAGATTACCTCAAAAACTGTAGTGTTTTCCTGTCTCTTAAACTCAATATCTGATGTCCCGTGATTGTCTTTGAATGCTGCTGTTGTGTGTCTTTTTATACTTCTGATAACTCTGTTCAGTGAAATCGGTATATTAAATTTTTCACTGATTTATCTGTAAATTGAAGTGGATAATGTATTTATAGCTACCCGGAAGGATTTTAGTTGAATCGAGACATCAGGGTGGTTGTAATAAGCCACCTGGACCAGCTCAGAGTTCTGCTAATAATTAGCCCCAGATCATGTCCTATCAGAATAAGACCCATTGTTACAGGGGCCTGCACTTCTCCCTCTCTCTCTTCTCTCTCTTCTCTCTCTCTCTCATTAAATCAGAGTCAGAAGTGTGTTTCTCTGGTTCTTTACTCCTGAGTCCTCTGAGGGTGAGAGTATCAGGTACTTAATCACCAAATCATCGTTGCCTCAACTGTTTTTATCTACTATTTAGGGAGAAACCATTTAACTAAGACTATTAGGCACAAAATTTTTATGGCCAGTTCATAATCGCATTCAAAATTACCTGGTATTATTTAAAAGTTTTAAACTAAAACAAACTGAATTCTAGACCTAAACATATTCAGTATGACCTTTCCTTCTCCTCTTCAAAGTTGAGATAATCATAAATAATATTCTGGTTTTTTAAGTAACACACACAAACACTGACATTTGCTTTCCTTTCCTTCCTTTTTGAGGGGAAACCATACTAAACAGAACGTTTAAGAAATCACTTACACGACAAGCTTGTTGGGGGGGGCTAATGGCTTGCCTTTGCTAGCTGTGATCGTGGGAACTTGCCCCACTGGTGACGCTCCTGCAGACAGAGATACTCAC